GTGAGCACTAACCTGGTCAGCTTTAAGCCCTGTGAAACAAAACATTCCAATCTGATTTGTGATGTGCGACCAGTCATGGGACGAACCTGGCGAGGAAAGAAATACCAGAACATGGATGTGATTGGTCTAAATGCACCACGTGACTGAGTATACTACAGTTAAACTAGAAAATATCCGAGAGATATTCCCCAACTGTCAAAAGAGCCGCGTGTCGCGAAAACGTTTTGAGGGATAATAAACACAATAGCCTCCTTTTGAGATAACAAATATATTCGGATATTTGTCCCTGGACATTATCTGTTCCTTCAAAGCTCACAGTTGCCCTCAAGCTTTGCTCTCGGAAAACTGTTTCTGACAGCGAAACAGAACAATGTCCGGGCATATTTTCGCGCCGGATAGAGGCTATTTTTTTATATATTTTCGCGCCAAACGAAAGCTGTTATTTATATATACCTTCTTTCTTTAAATTGTCAACAAGTTGTTGCCTCATGGAGATAATTCTATCAGCCATTCCCTTAACTTCCACCTCCCACTGAGGTCTAAGTTCTGGGTCGGTTAACACCATCCCTGCAATACGAGCACCGTGGATTGGAGGGTTGGAGTAGAGTGGGCGGATCAGTATCTTGATTTGGGACAGGACTCGCTCTGCTTCCTCTTTAGAGTCACAGGTAGCTGTGATCATTCCAACTCTCTCACCTGATAAACAAGATCATAAGGTAAAAAATTAGTATAAATTGTTGCTGAACGTAGATTTACTACTGATTTTAAGTAAGAAGTTAGCAAGTGTGCTTAACTACAGGTCAACATAGATTGGCAAAGAAAACAGTATCACTCAGGGGTGAAAGGCATGCCAGTGGGATGCAGGGAGTATTAGGGAGTAGTGAGATGGCTCTAATTACAGGTTTTGGAACTCTCAAGACTGTGTCAACGCTGGGCACATTTGCAAAATAAGTAACTTAATCACAAAGGTCAAAAGAAGAAATCCTAGAAGTTTTTTACTTTGGTTTCGAGAGGTGTCTTGGTGCAAAGCCTTGGAAATGAGTTTTTCTTGTAAGTTCATTGTCTTACAAATCAAATTCACTTCCAAATGATATGAAAGGTTGTACACCAGGACACATTTTGAAAAAGAGGTACTGTTAAAAGCAACTCGGAAATGGCTTATTCAATAATTAGATTCCAAAGCTAACACAGGTTTCTAAGGCATGATGTCAATGAAGAAAAGCATTAGGACCATGGAACACCACTAACATGTAAGTATTGCTTTAAACATATGACACTTTATTGACTGATAGAAACTGCTGCAGAGCACATTATTTACCGTAAAGGCCCATGTTCTTTGCAAATGATTGAGCAACTAGTACTTTATGCCCATCCTGAACAAAGTGTCTCAGGGCCCATGCATCCTTATCAGTATCGCCACTAGCAAAACCTTGGTACGCCATGTCAAAATACGGAAACAGCTTACGATCCTGGAAATATTACAACAAGCATTTGAGAATGCAAAATTGTACATATTATTTAATGATTTCTACTTGATAGATGGATTTTGTTTTCAGTTACATCTTATGTGATCATTAGAATTTTTAACACTTTGTAAGAAGTTTTGAGGTTTTGACCTACAGTTAAATTGCATTGTTTTCTACATTCATTTTGCACTCCTTTGTGGCTAAGATAACAAAATTACATAGAAGTATACTGAAAGTCGAACTTGTTAAATTGGTTGTCCAATCAAAATGGCATAACCCATTTTTTAAGTGTACTTTAAGACTCACAATACCTTTATGATTTGTGATAGCTCTTTCCATTCTTCCTCCTAAAGACAAAAAAGAAACGTAAACTTTGACTTTCATGTAACCTAAACCATATCCTTTAGACAGAGTGACAGCAAGATTCTTAGTAAGGCTTTGGCAAGTCAAAGTAATGCTGTGTCTCCCTTCAGGTGAAAGACAGGTGGCTCAAACAACCAGTCAGTCCTGGTTTCCACACCATGACATAACCAAAATTATTGAGCTAGCTACTCCTCCCTGATTGGATGTGACATGTATGTCTTGGCAGGTTACCCCCATTCCCAGCATTTTATTAAGATTACCATAACCATTCGCCTGTACCTGTTTATACACCTATAATAAAAAATAAATAAAAGACTTTATTTAATGAGGGTAACATAATTTACTGGTTGCCCAGTAGTTTACAATATGGCCCTCCCTAATTTTACATAAAATCATTTATATATTATACACTTATGAACAGTGTATTATATACTTATGAATAGTGTATTATATACTTATGAATAGTGTATTAGAAGAACCATGGAGCGTAAAGTACAGTATTGTATCTTGCCCAAGTACACCACACATTGTGACCTGGTCATTGCCTAATAATGAACTGCTTGTTCTGCAGTCCACAACACCTCTCTCCTCAGCAGAGGCTTCCTAGGAGGGGGCAAGGAGGAAGGAGGAGTGGGGGACAATGAGAGCATTTTGCCCATGCCCTCTTTGCTTCTTTTCCCCACAACTGAACTGCCAATATTTACGGTCAATGCAATACGTAAGAGGCCTCTACAGAGGAGAGAGGTTCAGCATGGAAATGATGATGCCATGACATATGTGTTTTGCTAGAAAACATCTANTACAATTCAGTGGCAATTAACCAATCAGAGCGCGCGTTATATCGGCCACAAGCCAAAGCCATATAATAAAGTACAGTATTGTATCTTGCCCAAGTACACAACACATTGTGACCTGGTCACTGCCTAATAATGAACTGCTTGTTCTGCAGTCCACAACACCTCTCTCCTCAGTGGAGGCTTCCTAGGAGGGGGGAAGGAGGAAGTGGGAGTGAGGGGCAGTGAGAGCATTTCGCCCATGCCCTCCTTGCTTCTTTCCCCCACAACTTAACTGCCAATATTTACGGTCAATGCAATACGTAAGAGGCCTCTGCAGAGGAGAGAGGTTCAACATGCAAATCATGATGCCATGACATATGTGTTTTGCTAGAAAACATCTATGCTTCAGCAACAGGTTTTATGGTTTGACCCCATCCGCCACACCTCAGGAAATTTCCAACTGGTTTTTGAAACCTCCTTACCCCTCAGAATTTTCAGTGACCTTTCCTGGCTGAGTATGGGTATTTCCTGGAACTTACACATTGTAAGTACAAGTACTACATACTTCATCCATTAACATTTCTCTTACCTTTGGATCCACTCCTGTTGGATTATGGGCACATGCGTGCAACAAGACCACTGAATTCTCTGGAATTTTCTGTGAAAACAGATTTATTGATTAGAATTAAATAACATTGCATCCCTGGAAAATGTCTATAAAGGTGCACAATCTGACACGAAGAAAGTGCTGCCTGGTCATCCTGGACAAGTAGATTTTCCTGCTGAGCAAGTAACTTTTCATTCTTACTTGCCTGATGGGCAAGCGCCCAGGCAAGTCAACTGCCAACTAAATAAAACAGTAAACTAAGACTTGGCACAGGACAAGCAAAATTTGACAGCTGCTCATCCAAAGGGAAAGCTAGAATAAACTGAAATTTAGCTCACTGCAATATCCTCCAAGCAGCCTTTGAAATCAAAGCCACAAGTCTCTGGGTCATAGTATCGGTATTGTTTTACTCCAAGTCCTGAATGCCTGTAGAGTAGAAAATAAAACACTCTTTTACTTTCTCTGATAATTAAGTTCTTATACCGTAAATAGGGTGAGTTCATGCATAGCTAGTACATGTAGTAAGTGACTGAAAAAGTATATACAAGGGAAAATGATTTGAGTTTGAGATAATCAAGTCCTAGATAGCGAGGTTCTACTGAAGTTTCCATTTGTTCCATATGCTGTTCTCCTGCCCAACCATTTTTCTTTTAATACTTTAAACTCTGAGAACAACAACAACAACAACCATTTATTTGTACTTACAATTTATAAAATAATTACCATAAACATTAAATTAGTATAGAGTACTGCCTGCCCAAAATAACCATAAGGGCTAAAAAGAATGGGCAGACATTAAGTTACATAGATTATTTATACAGTTATCGGTCGGTAACACACTTACACACACACAAATATTGGCAGTTCAGTTGTGGGGAAAACAAGCAAGGAGGGCATGGGGGGAAATGCTCTCATTGACCCCCACTCCCCCTTCCTCCTCCCCCCTCCTAGGAAATTCACTCACTTCTTAGTCTTAAATGGAGATATGGAGTATGATAGACTGTCATGTTACATACTTGAGAATGGGTGTGTGGTTTCCCCAGGATGGGGTGGGTAACCAAACGTCTTTGCTTCCAGGAAAGAAACTTTTCTGTGAAAGAAGTACACGATGCTATCATCAATGACATGGAGTTAATTAAAAGTTATCAATCTTGAATGTCAAAGCATAATGCAAATTGCATTTGTCCTAAAATTTTAAAATGACCACCATCACAGTCCTAATATCTCCACACGCTGGTCCAGGATAAACGACAAGACTACCAGCAAATCACTGGACAGGAATGATGTTACAGAAAAAAACAGATGGTATCCCATAACATTATTAACTACACACAAGTGTCTCAGCATTGTTTCTTATCATATGGCTACATGTAGCTCCATGAGCCAGCAAGATGAACCAAATCCTCTCCTGTGACTGGGTACTCAAGCGGGCAAGATGGTGCTTTCTTGTCTGCTTGGGATTACATGCTGTCTCCCACATGAAAAAAAAAAAAAAAAAAAACCCTGAAGCCATATAATTAATCCTTTATTGACAAAGCTTATTTGGTCAAGATGGCTGGATATTGGCCAAGGATTTTTTTTTGCATGTCTCTGGACCTCAACCCCATCTCATCCATCTCATCTAATCTTGTCCATAAACATCCAAAAAAAAAATACCTTGGCCAATGTCCAGCCATCTTGACTGCATGCTTGGTCAATACCCCATATATAATGGGTAGAGTTTGACTCTCTGCATCTCTTAGAACTCCAAAAAGCTGTCAGTTACTAAACTTCGGGCAGCTTGGACGCTTATGCCTTATTTCAGATCACACTATACGGCTAACACTGCATTGGAGCAGCTCAAAATACATGAAGCACAAAATACAGTTCAACAAACCAGGAATGCTGTCCCAATCCGAAGAGCTCCAGTGCCTGAGATAGCTTGTGCTGATGCATTCTGGAGAAAAAAATCAAATGAAACTTGAAGGAGAAACACCTGTAATGCAATTATACCACATACAAAGAAATATAGAGACAATCAGCTGAAGATAGTACTAAAGTTCAGAGTCTCGCAAATTTGAAACAAATACATACAAGGCTGTTCTTGATCACTTCACTGTCTTCTCCAAAAGCCAGTTTTGCTGAAGGCACAGTGAAATCAGGTAAACCATGAATAGGAGCATACTCTTTGTCTTGATTCTTAGCCAGTAATTTTTCTTCTGCCTGTTTAAAAATTACACAATGTAAAATAGAAGTGAGCTTTGTCCCCATCTGCAATCTTTTTCAACATGACATACAGTAAAAGGCCCATCAGGGCATCAAAGTGAATCACTCGGGGATAGGCATGTGCCAGTAACCTTGCTTACTGAAGACGAGAAGCGTTTTTGGGTTGACCCTCATATAATATATCTTGAGTGTCCAGTTCCCTAGACATGAGATGTGCCTGAGATGAATCATGGCAGTTGTATCCAAAACTCGCTAACATTTAATTAATGAATAAAACTTAGCTATCATGATTCCCTGTAGGTGTGTCTTACTTGGGAAACCTAGAAGTTTAATGCATGAAGAGTACAGTGACAGCAGTTGACTCCAGACCAGTTAATACCAGCACTATCCTTGATCAGTTAATTTAAATCTTAGTTATTTGCAATTTGACTATTGGAGGAATTTTTTTATCCAATTATCTCCAACTTGACCAAGGATCCAGTTGTATAAATTACCTGCTCTAAATATTGCGCTCAGTACAATCCCAATGACTTGTTAATTTTAATAATATCCATTTAATTAATTATCAATTTGGACAGTTAGCAAACAATAAAATGTCAAGTAATAATATTGCATGCTTGCATAGGATTTTGGGCAGAAAATATGATTCTCATTCAATGCAATATGGCAATTGAGTGTTCAATTTATTATTACTAACAGACGTGAGTGTAATATTAAAAAAATTGTTACTCTTTCATGTTAACGTGCAAATAACTGCATGAACAACCACAAACTGGCCAAATTCTCACCTTTCTCACTGACGGCAGAACATAAGGTTTTCCAGCATCATCTCTATAAGCGCCAACACCAAGGTTGATTTTCTTAGGGTTTGTATCTTTCTTGTAAGCTTCTGTTATCCCAAGAATGGCATCTGGAGGGCCAAGCTCAACCTGTGACCACCATGAGCTGAGAAAAGAAAAATATCAATGCATTACCATCTGGCCTTTTTCATAATGACTATTGCCATGATAAAGTAAGGTTTTTCAGTTCCATTTATTACAGCAGCCAAGTCAGTGCTTCAACAGTCCTAGTTTCTGAGGCGTGATGCAACATATTTTTACCTAAACAACTCAGCTGCAGGAGTATTGCTACAGTGTTGCTACACCCGATAAATATGGTGCTGATCTACTGAGGTAAACAGGGGGAGCAGGGATGGTGCAGTGGTGAGAGCACTCATCCCCACCAGTGTGGCCCGGGTTCAATTCCAGCCCAGTGCCATAAGATATGTGGGTTGATTTTGTTGTTGGTTCTCATCTTGCCCCAAGGGTTTTTCTCCGGGCTCTCCAGATTTCCTCTCTCCTCAAAAACCAACATTACCAAATGGGATAGACGACCCCCACGAAAACCACCTAAGGCTGAGGTGGCTTCCTCTCTAAATATTGTACTTTTTAAACCCAATAAGATGGTCTACAGTACATGAACCAAATTACTACTTAAGGGCTAAACTATCTGATGATTGCATGATTTGTTATGCTCATATCTATCGACCCATTGGAATTCACTATGAACACCTTGTCTCTAAAAAGTAAACTGGAACCTTGAGTGGTTTATTTGTTTGTATGACATCAAGGAAAACAAGCACAGATGAGTATATACAATGCAAATTGTAAGTGTTGATCACATTAATCATTTACTAGCTTGAAGTATCGATTAATTCTTGTGATGAGTGGTGTGGGATTTTTATGATTTTGTCTATGATTTTAGTGCGGTAGGGTGTGGGGCTGAAGCCCAGGGGAGGTACTTTGGGAATTTCTGGGTGGGTATGTGCCGCTGGGACCCTGGAACCCTTAGCCTATACCAGAGCTAAAGTTATTGTCTCAAAAGAACTAGTACAGTAATTATTACTGTTCTTTTCAGACAATAATGAAGACAAGTAGGGTAAAGTATATGATTACTGAGAGGTATTTCATTGAATACTGGTTACCTCAATGTTTTCCAAAAGTCACTTAGGACTTTATTCCACACACCCCTTCAACTTCTACATGTACTTAACATAACATAGAGTATGAGCTTGAGATTTCTATTGTGTCACAGTCATGCATAGAAATTGAGAGCATTAATTTTAATCTACATGTAATTGTTTTAGTATAAATGTACTATTTGTTATCGAACTTAAGCTAAATCCTCCTTACAGACACTTTGAAAATGCAAAGAAGCCACTGCTATTTTGTTAACAATCATGCAATGCTGGATTACTCACAATCTACAATAGAATACATGTACATAGTGGAGGAGGGCAT